AGGTTAATTTTTCTGAAAGGCAGAGATTTGCCTGGCTGGTGTGGCTCAGTGAGTTGAGTACTGGTCTGCAAACCAAAGGGTTGCTGGTTCAATTTTCCATCAAGGCACAAGCCTGGGTTGCAGGCCAGGTCCCTAGCTGGGGGGCATGTCACACATCAATGTTTCTTTCCCTCTTTATGCCTTACTTCCCCTCTCACTAAAAAAAATATTAAAAAAGTCTTTTTAAAAAGTTAAAATACATTAAAAATACAGTAAGATACAAGAGATTTTCAGAATGGACTTAAAAAACAAGATTAACTGTAGGCTGCTTACAAGAAATGCATTTTATTTTTTTAAAGATTTTATTTATTTTTTAGAGAGAGGGGAAGGGTAGGAGAAAGACAGGGAAAGAAACATGGATGTGCCAGAGAAACATCAATCAGTTGCCTCTCACATACCCCTAATCAAGGACTTAGCTGGCAACAGAGGCATATGGGAATTTAAACAGTGACATTTTGGTTTGCAGTATGAGGCTCATCCCACTGAGCCACACCAGGGAGGGCCAAGTAATGCATTTTAAATATAAAAATATAAACAGGTTAGAGTAAAAGAAGAGGGAAAGACATACCACGCTAACACTAATTAAAAGAAAGATTTGTGGACATGTTAATATTTGCCAAAGTAAATTTCACAGTAAACAATATCACCAGGGACAAGAAAGTCACTTTACAATGATAAGGGTCAATTCCTCAAGAGGACAGTACAATTCTAAACATTTCATATACCTAATTACAATACTACAAAATACATGAAAGCAAAAACTGATAGAAATGGAAGGAGAAATAGACAGGTCTACACTTAGAGTCCCACCTCTCTCAATAATTAATTGACAGAATAAAAAATCAGCAAGTACAGACATGACTTGAACAACATTACCAATTTTTCTTAATTGACATTTATGGAGCATTATGGCATAACAGAATACTCTACCCAACAATAAACAGCAAAATATACTGCTGGATATAGAATACATTTTTCTCAAAGGCACACAGAACACTTCTAAGACAGACCACATTCTGGGCCATAAAACAAGACTGAATATATTTTAAAGAACTTAAGTCACAGAAGGTATGTTTTCTAACTACATGGAATTAAACTTGAAATCAGTAACAAAGAGATACCAGGAAAATCCCCACATACTGTAACTCCAAAATACACAGCATACTTCTAAACTAACCCATGGTTTGAAGATAAAAGCAAAAGTGAAAAAGGAAAATAATTTGAACTGAATAAAAATACAACATATCAAAATTGATGGGGTGCAAATAAATCAGTATTTAAGGATAAATCTATAGAACTAAACACCTAAGATTCGACTCAATAACATCAGTTTGGAACATTAAGAAAAAGGAGCAAATTAAACACAAAGTAAGAGAATAATAGATATCAAATTACAAATAGATGAAATTGAAAACAGAAAAACAAAGAAAAATCAAATCAAAAGCTTGTTCTTTTGAAATCAATAAAACACATAGGAATCAAGTGTGTTGAGAATCGACAGTGTTCTCCTTGTTGATATTTAAGCTATTTATCTTGTTACATTCTAAATTTAAAGAAATTATTGAGACACAAGGAAGTATTAGATACATAGGCTCAGAGGTTACAGCTCTAATCTACCTATTTTTCTCTGAAAAATATAAAAGGCATATTGATCCCTAGACAAACCACATTGCTCTTCCAAACAACAGTTTTCTTAGGAGTAAAATAAAGAGACTGAATTAGAAAATCTCTAAAATCTCTTTAAACTCTAAGATCCTCTACATGCCAAATAAAAGGTACATATATACTACTAACAGCTATAAATGACCTGAATGAGATGCTCTGATAAAACCCTTGGAAACTAGGGAGAAGTTGGTTAATCTACCCATAATTAAATACATGTGTTTAAATATCAGCCTTGGGAAAAATGAAAGAATTTCAGTTCAATTTAAAATCAAAGGCCATTATTACTAATTAACGTTAATTGTCACTTCTCCGCTCATTACCCCTGTGAGAAAGCCATGTTAGATGTATTACTTACTCAATTTTTGTTCTCAATCATACTCTTCTCAGTAATACAAATTCCTGACTAATAAGAGGTATGTCCAGAAAAAATCCAACCATTGTTAATATAACAAGAATAGATAGCACAATACCAATGTAACCTGGCAATGATGTAATCTGGCAAGGAGAGTGGTCTGGAATGCACATGTGTGAACACTGACTTCACTGTACTAGTCAGCGGGAGTGGTAGGCCTGTTTAGTGAGCATGTGTTCTGTGTGGCCCTTGAATTCAAAATGACTGAGTGAGTAAAGCAACAAATCTGCACTCAATTTTGCTTTAAGCTTGAACATTCTCTGGTGGAAGCTATTTGGATGATTCAGAAGGCTGCAGCTATGGGCCAGGGGTGATTGGCAGCTTCACTAACTACAACACATCCACTCATGCATCACATTTCCTGCAGAGGTTTTGGCAAAATATCTAGTCATCCAGGTGACTCAATACCATACAGCCCAGATTTGGAGCCCTGCAACTTCTGGCTATTTCCAAAACTAAAATCACCTTTGAAAGGGAAGAGATTTCAGACCATTGATGAGATTCGGGAACGTACGACGGGGCTGCTGATAGTGATTGGGATAGGTGCACTGTGTGCAGTCAGAAGGTGCTTACTTTGAAGGGGACTGGGATATCATTGTCTTTTGTCCAATGTTTCCCCCTATTTTTCATATTACATGACTGGATACTTTCTGGACAGGCCTACACACACACACACACACACACACACACACACACATAGTGTGTGTGCATGAAATTACAAAATGAAGTTAGAGAAGCTGGGATGAAATGAGGGCCTCTCATAAATTATTTGTTCAAATGTCTTACTGTGGACCAGGCATTTTTATTGTCTAATATTTAGAAAACTTCTGCTGCCACCTTTTAGGAGAATATTACCTTATACAAATAGACCATAACTACTAATACTGATATCTGCCCTGAGTGTCTGGGTCTGGATAAACAACTAGTCTTGCATAGTTGTCAATTTTAAAAACATGGATTCCAGAGCCATATCATTTGAGTTCTAATTCTGATTATGCCATTTACTAGTTATTATACAAATTATTTAACTTTATGGAGATTATTATGAGCTTTAAATAAGTCAACACATGTAAAGGTATTATTTATTATCTTCCTCTCCCATGTAGTTTGACAAAGAATATCAGAAGTTATGAAAATTTTATGAAAATTTTTGAAATAGCCCATTAAAATTTACACTTCTATTAAATTATATATTAATGTATTTAAGTGGATCTGTGCTTATGAAAATATAAATGTATAGTTTAAAGAACAGTTTTAAAATGAGACTGAAGGAGCTGTCATGTTCAACTATGTAATGCAGTGACACTGCAGACCTCCCAAATTCTCCCTAAACTTAAATAATTGAGAAGTATTAAATGCAGGTTCTATGTAAGACCTTTCACCTTCAGTATTTTAAAATACCCTCATGGCCTGCTAAAAGTTGCATGCTGAATAGAAAGATGTGGGTCACATTCTAACAGCCACTCAACAATTGTGTGACCTAACCAAAGGGCCTATTTACTCAGTCTCATTTCCTAAATCTGTGGAATATTGAAGGGAAAACAATGAAATGACTCCTCCAGACACTCTCAATTCATGTTTCTTTTCCTTCATGTTTGATGTCATCTGTTGATTAAATGTGCAATTGCAACATAAATGCACATTTTTAGTGTTCCTTCAGAAGCTTTACTTCAAAACCACTATGAAATTAAAATAGGGTGGGAATAATCTTTTGATGTAATTAAATAAGATCCGTACAACCTTTGTAACAAATGCCCACTTCAGAGTAATTAAGATAAAGTATCATCTTAAGCTGATGAGAATCCTATGATTACCATCACCTCCTGGAAGTAGCCTCAAGAAATACCCAACTCTAGCCCATTTTAATTCATTCAAACATTTCTGGCAAATATTCTGGTATCCAAAAGAATGAGACTAAATAATATTCAACGGATTATTATTATTTGAAAATGTATTCCACAACTAACTTATTCTGGGCCTACTTGCAGGGAGTTTTCCTCGGAATTAAATATTCTATAGTACAAAATAATTTTTTTAAAGGTAGGTATTTTCACTTAAAAATCTATCTCCAAACTTTCTGAGCCAAAGCATTCTCTTTCATGCGCAGAACTCGGCTTTTGCTACTTCTCTGAGAGATGTGCAAACCCGGACCCACAACAGGGAGTCCTGTTTGTGCCACCTTCCAGTGGAGTGCATGGTACAGCTTTCCATTCCTACAATCCCTATTGTATGCGTCTCTGTTTTGATAATGTGGACTCAGTCCCGACACAAAGACTAGGGATAAGGAGGGACTGCGTCCACAAACGGCACTCACCACGTGGCCCTAAGTTCTTACGAAGAACGGAGGCAAGCAGCTGACCAGAACCCAGATGCCAATGTAAACCTGAAACAGCTGCTCAAAGCGCATCAACTACTCCCGTAATCAATCAATCAATCACCAGTCAATGTTTTTGATAGGCCATTTCCTCCCCTCTTAAGGACAACCTAAGTAAACCCCTACCGTAAGTGTACTAGGTAGTTCCTCCTGTTTTTCAGGGGATCGGGTGAGAACTACTGAGGGAAATGACAGTAAGGACGAGCAGACTAGAAATTTCCGTAAGAAAACAGCTGCGGAAAGGATCAATTGTTTCACTCATTCTTTGACCAAAAGCAGCACTGAGTGTGAGTTACTGACTCTGACTGGGAAGAAAGAACTTCCCACTGGCCGGTGGCCGCCCTGCCTCGCAGCTCCCTTCGCTCCTCGGTCCACACGGCCGCCACTCCTTAGGCCCGAGTCTTCACTGTGAATGGCACAAACGCTGGAACCCCCACACACTTCCGCAACCGCTCCGCCCCGGGAAACCCCTTCGGGCTCCGCGGTGGGGCGCGCCCTCCTGGTACTCACACACACACAGCTCCACCACGTACGCGTAGTAGGACCAGGCCACCACGAAGGCGATGAACAGCACCGGCACCCAGCCTACGCCGCGTTGGCAGCAGCGCCAGGACCGTCCCGGCGCCATGTTCCGGGGCGGCTGCAGCACCAAGACCCAACGAGTACCGAGCCTAACCTAGCTACGCCCCAAATCGGACGACGCTAATCCCGCGGAACCGCCCCCGAGCCCCCCCACCGCCGCAGCGCCAGGCCCCGCCCCCGCGCCAGGCCCCGCCCCCGCGCCGGCCTTCGTCTTACCTTAGGACTGGGTTCCTGAGACTAAAACTGGAAGGTCCGCTCTTTGGGCGGGTCCCCGGCTCCCCACAGCCAGGGGCGGGGCAACCAGAGCTGGCGGAGGAGCCTATTCCGGGAGCCAGGCTTGAGGGGCGGTGCCTGCCTTTGGTTTGTTAAGTTTAAAAGCACTTCCTGGACAGCATAGCTGAGTCAGTGACTGCTCTCTGTGCACAAACTACTGCGTGGGGGCCCATTTTCAAATAGGGCGAGGCTGTGCTCCAGCAAGTGAAGGCGAGGGTCGTCCGGTATTGTAAGGCTCCTTCAGGGAGGCTAATGTGTACCTCTGATTGAGAATCCTGAACTTTGAAATCTTTTACCCCGCGCGTTTCAGGCCTAACCCCTCCATTTTTCGAGGAATGGAACCAGTAGATGCCTGTGATTTAGCATGGAAGCCTGTAGAGTCTTTCATGTGAAATCTGAATTGGACAAAGGAGAGCAACAGCCCTTTCCCTGATCCCCAAGGTACTACTGAAATTTAGAGAATTTATTTACTACTGGAGTATTCTTCTAAACAGTACTTGTTGATCTTAATAGGACATAAAAGCAGCACTATGAAGATGTCGTAATACAAGTAATTCCAAATTGCATTTCCTGATACTTCATGTCTATTTTTCAGTAAGGTCTCCATGAAGCACATTTCCCCCTTTTATAGTGTGATATGAAGGTTATAAAAGCAAATAATATTTCTAGTGCTAGAAATACTAAAAGGTGTGTAATCTCCCAGATTTTATACCTTGGTGTCACGATGGTGTCAAAGCTGACAGTAGCTTCAAGGCATTACAGTGAAAAAAATTCAGCTTGTTTTCTAGAGATCCTGCTTTCAAATGAAATTTGAATCATTGACAAAAACACTATAACTTAAATCTGCCATCTCTAAAATTCAGCACAAATGTCATGTCCCGCAGAAGTCCTTCTTGAACACATTGGTGACAATGCTTTCTTTCTGTTACACTATTGTGCTTGCAACTTGTCACAAACTGGGTGGCTTAACAGAAATTTATTGTGATGGTGGCCTGCAGTGTAGCAGTGGAGAAGGTGACAAGGAAGCTATTTAAGACTTCAACTTTGGTGGACCTCTCTGCTCCAAAAACAAATCAATAGTAGAAGTAAATCTGAAAATAGAAAACCAACAGATAAACTCAGGCTCAAGGTTCCATTCTACCCAGCCCCCAACAAATGAGAAAAAAAAAATGTGTACTGATCAACCCATAGTATTGTGACTTCTTAACAGAGGGTGGAGGACACACTGAAGCTCCCTGACCTGGAACCAAGCTGCCAGTTGGCCTGGTGACTAGATATATGGTGTCCTGTTAATGAAGCCAGGAACTTCAAAAGCCATTTTAACTTCTAGTTTTGAATTTAGAGCTGGGGTAAAATAAGGGCAACTAGAGGCAGCTACGAAACTATTAGGCGGGGTTTATAGAAATCACTTAGCAGTCAAGAAAATAGAGAAAACTTATTCAGTCCAAAAGAAGATAGGTAATGAAAGGGGGGCGAGGGAAAGCAACAAGAACAAAAAAAGATTAGAAACAGAAACACATATGAGATGATGTAACCAAATGCAGTTCTGGCTGACCATCTATTCGAAAGCCAATATTTGAGAGGCAGGTATTCATGTAAAAGAAAGTGGTTTTATTCAGGTGTTGACAACCTGGAAGATGAGCGACTCTCATCTCAAAGCCCATCTCAGTGCAGGCAGGGGTTTTTATGAGAGGGAGAGGGAAGTCAAGGAAAACAAAGAGATGGGGGAAAGGCATGCAGGCAGTGGTCTTTTTTTAAAATATATTTTATTGACTATGCCATTACAGTTGTTCTATTCCCCCCTTTATTCCCCTCCACCCTGCATACCCCTCCCCCACCATTCCCCCTTTTAGTTTATGACTATATGTCTCAAGTTCTTTAGATTCTATATTTCCCTTACTATTCATCTATTTTCTACCTACCATCCATGCTACTTATTTTCTGTACCTTCTCCCCCCTTCTCCTTCTCCCACTCCCCTGTTGCATGTGATCTGCATTTCTATGGTTCTGCTCCTGATCTAGCTGTCCTCTTAGTTTGCTTTTGTTTTAGGTATGGTTGTTAATAACTGTGAGTTTGCCGTCTTTTCACTGTTCATATTTTTTATCTTCTTTTTCTTAGGTAAGTCCCTTTAACATTTCATATAATAAGGGTTTGGTGATGATGAACTCCTTGAATTTGATCTTATCTGAGAAGCACTTTATCTGCCCTTCCATTCTAAATGAAAGCTTTGCTCGATAGAGCAATCATGGATGTAGGTCCTTGTCTTTCATGACTTGGAATACCTCTTTCCAGCCCCTTCTTGCCTGTAAGGTCTCTTTTGAGAAATCCGCTGACAGTCTGATGGGAACTCCTTTGTAGGTGACTGTCCCCTTATCTCTTGCTGCTTCTAGGATTGTCTCCTTCATTTTAATCTTGGTTAATGTAATTATGATGTGCTTTGGTGTGTTCCTCCTTGGGTCCAACTTTTTTGAGACTCTCTGAGCTTCCTGGATTCCTTGGAAGTCTCTTTCCCTTGCCAAATTGGAGAAGTTCTCCTTTATTATTTGTTCAAATAAGGTTTCCACTCGTGACTGTTCCTCTTCCCTTTCTGGTACCCCTATAATTCGGATGTTGGAACATTTAAAGATGTCCTGAAGGTTCCTAAGCCTCTCCTCATTTTGTTGAATTCTTGTTTCTTCATCCTTTTCTGTTTGGTCATTTTTTTCCTCCTTCTGGTCCACTCCTTTGATTTGAGTCCCAGTTTCCTTTCCATTACTATTGGTTTCCTGTGCATTTCCCTTCATTTCAATTAGTTTAGCCTCCATATGTTCCTGTAATTTGTGGCTATAATCAACCAGTTGTGTGAGCATCCTGATCACCAGTGTTTTGAACTGTGCCTTTGATAGGTTGGCAATTTCTTGTTCACTTAGATTTATGGGCTCTGGGGCTCTAAGTTGTTCTCGAGCCATGTTTTGATCTGTTCATGCCTCTTACGTAGGAGGAGCGGAGCCTTAGATGTTCACCAGGGTGAGGCTGCCCAGGTCGTAGGTTGTGACCCTGTATGTGGGGGCAGGGTCAGAAAGGGACAAGGGGGGGTTCCCTCTGCTGCCTCCCGCCGCTGGGGCCTTCGAGGTCCATCTCACTGCTTGCTCTTTCACCGGTTTACGATTTATTTCCGCGTGAATGTGTGACCGTGGTCAGTCCTCAGTGGGTCCACCCGCTACTCCACACCTGGGATCCGCCCACGGCTGCTGGCACGCCTGGGTCACGCACCTGGGGGGTGTCTGGTGGGTCTTTCTTGCCGACCCTGCTCTGCTGTTGGCTCTGCCCCTCTTACCAGTTTGGCTGAAGGGTTCGTTGTTGTCAGACTTCCATATAGTTTGATTTTCTGTGGTTTGGCTTCGTTTATTGTTGCTATAACTTTGTTGTTTTTAGATTTGGTTGTGCGAGAAGGTAAAGTGTTTACGCCTATGCCTACATCTTGGCGGAAGTCCCTGCAGGCAGTGTTCTTGCTGGTCTTGATATAGATCTTTAATATCGGCATCCTGGAACAGATCAGTGCCAGTCAGATTCCTGCAGTTGGGAGATCTGCATCAACTGAAGTCATGGTAAAGGCTATTTCTTGTACAAGAAGGAACTGGAACCACTGGCACCTGCAATATGCTTACAAAGAAATTGTCAGTATGTGAGTTCTTTCCATCAGTTTGTTTCTAGATTTTATTCTAGTTCCATTTCATGGTAAATCAGAGTAGTATAAAGTTTTTATTCCCTGTAATTCTCCATTGTCAATTTTTCCTCCATATCTATGGAATGATTGATGTCCTCTAAATCTTCTGGGGATATGAAAAACCTGAGCCTGTTGTAAAGCAAAATCTCATGAGTTAAAAGCAGATATATTTTTTAGAGGTGCCTGTTGAGCAGATATAATTTTTCTGGTGTGGGAAAAATAAGTCATAAAGTACTTTAAAGCAAAAGACAAGCATTATAAAGAATACCCATGGACATAAACAAAGGTGGGATTTTGCCTGATGGGGCAAAGGGGTGAAAATTTGGACAACTGTGTGACAGCACAATCAATAAAATATTTTTAAAAGAATGGTTAAACCTAAATTAAAAATTCCTCCTAATATGGACCTGAGTCCTTGTATCTATGAGAATAGACTTACAAACCAATGTCAAAGAGGGAACTGGGTGGTCCAGTGTTTGTTGAAGCCAGGTACTCTGTTGCTTGACTTTGGTGATGCTTGTTTTCACCTAAGTTGAAGTGTCAATGTAAGTACAAGAGGAGTGAATGGTCATGCAAACTCCTCCTTGTTCTGCTAGTATGTAGACTAAGGCAATTTGATTATCTAAGACATCTTTAGCTAGAAAGTCCAGAGATTTTTTAATATTAGCAAGTAAAGTGGCAGTTTTATTTGCTATGGTGATTAAAGTCTTGGAGAGATTCCAAAGTACATGTTGATGAGCAGCTACTCCCCATAAGGGAAACAGAATATATATGAAGAAATATTCATCATTGTCTGGAATTTCTCCAGGGAGATCTCAGGCCATTTGGTTGAACATTGATTGCTTGCCCTGGAGTCTTATCATCCTAGAGAGTTTAATTTATTTGCTTGTAGACCTCAGGAGAGAACTGGTTTTCCTCTGGGTCCACCTAAATGTGTTAAAAGCATCTGGAGTTGGAGGGCATGTTCTGGTGGGACCTGCAGGTGGAGCTGCTGTCTTTCAGGAGAAAAGGTTACTTGGGGCGACAATTTACAGAGCAAGTCCTGACCCAGCAAAGTGATGGGTGGTTCAGGCAAATAGAGGAAGCTGAGGAAGCTGTGTGATAACTTAAGAATTCTGCATTGGCATTCTA